ATACGCAGCACAAAGGAGCAATAACTTTGTAACTTATTACCTAACTTGGGAGGGACTGGAGAGCATTATGCCGAGTGAACTATTTCAGTCCCACAAGGATAAATATTATATAAAACTGTTATTGTAGAATACGTATAAGGATAAGGGATACAAGTATATAGGATATAAGGGACAGGTTAGAAGCAGGTAAGAAGGATACAAGTATAAGGATATAAGGGACAGGTTAGAAGCAGAGTGATGGGGATGGGTGGGTTGGGGCTGGTGAGGGAAATGGAAAGAATCTGTCTGAATTTTTATTTGAGTTTTGTAAATACACTAGTAGAAAAAAATACATGAAATACACAGAAAAGTTTAAATGGCAAAATAAATCCACATATACCAATAATTACATGTAAACAGATTAAACAACTTAATAAAAGAGCAGAGATTTTAAAAAAAATTGTAGCTAAAGATGGTTATATGCTCAAACCCAACTCAACACTAACCTTGAGCCAATTCCCTTAAAAGGGAAGCAGAACTGCCTCCTGTGGTTTCTAAGGCTGTAACCTTAATGGTAGCAGATCTGCTACATCTTTCTCCTGAGAAGCAGTTGCAGATTTGAACCATCAACCTGTTGATTAGCAGTCAGGTACTTAATTACTCCAAAGATGGCTAAAAGGAGGATAAAAATGGAAAAACCCCCATAATTTGCATTGACTCTTAGCTACCACAGACATGATCTAGCCCAAGCTCCCTCTTCTTACATCAAATAATGTGGCCTAAGATATCTTTTACTAACAATTCTCCTTTTTCCTTTCAACTTGTTTTCTAGTGATCTCTCTAAGGTCTGGCCTTGAGAGGACAGGGTTGGATTACTAACAAAATACTTAGGAGAAACAGCAAGTTAAGCTTGCTTTGGGCTATAGCTGCTAAGAAAGGTCAGTCGTGTTCTTTGGTCCCCAGCCTGGCTCCAATCCCAGGATTATTCAGTGTTTCTTGCTTCGTCTCCTCTATTCTACAAATGGAACAAAGACCTAATAAATATTAATCACTCTATTCTCCAGGAAAAATGAATTTAAGAATTAGAATTGATTTAAATATTGCCACCTCGGGGAAACTGTTCCCAAACAGTTCCCTGTCCTGCATTTCCCTCCTCTCCTGTATACTTACAATGCTCTATTTATCTATCTAGTCTAGTACTGAAGACTGTGTAAAAACTTCTGATCCAATAATTTTCTCTTTATAAGTTTCCTGGGGGCAGGGACAATGTTTTGCTCATCTTTGCATCTTGTGCACTTAGTACAGATCCCAGGAACCTAGTTAAACGCTGTAGTTAGCTAAGAGCAGACTGCAGAGCCAGACTTCCTGGAATCAAACCTCAGTTTCACCTTTACCATATGTGAAACCTTGTTATTTCTCTTCTTTGTGACTTAGCTTCTTTATTTGTTAAGTGCAGATGGCTAGAGGTCTATTTTCATAGACTGCTCTAACTGGAAGAGGAGGAGTTCTTGTTGTTAGGTACCACTGAGTTAAGTGTGACTCATAGTGACCCTATGAACAACAGATCTGAACCCTGTCCTCTCCTGTGCCATTCTCACAATCTCTGACATACTCAAGCCCATTGCTATAGTCACTGTGTCCATCTATCTGGTTGAGGGTCTTCCTCTCTTTTGCCATCCCCAAACCTTTCCAAGCATGATGTCCTGCTCCTAAAAATAGCCTCTCTTAGCAACATGCACAAAGTATGTGAGATGAAGCTTTATTATCTTTACCTCCTGGGAGCACTCTGGCTGCACCTGCTCCAAGATATCTTTTAGTCTTTTGGCAGTTCAAGGGATATTCAATATTCTTCTCCAGTACCATAGCTCAAAGTCACCAATTCTTTCTCTGACATCCTTATTCATTGTCTATATCTCAGATAAACAGCAAGTGACTGAAAAGACCATGGCCTTAATTGGGTGCACCTTAGTCTTTAAACTGGACTCATTGCTATTCAGTAATTTGGAGAGATAAAAAAAATTTGGAGAGGTCCCTGACTGCAGACTTTTCCAGTACAATATGTCTTCTAATCTCCTGACTGCTGGTACCAAGTATATTGACTGTGGATCCAAGTAATAAGCAGCTGGAAGAGTATGTATACATTAAAAGGGAAGTATAAGTTTGCAATCATCTTTCTTTGTTTTTCTTTGGGGAGCTCTGGTGGCATAGTCCACAGGGAGTTGAGCTGATAACTCAAAGGTCTGTGTGTCGTGGATTGAATCCCCCAGCAGCTCCATGAATGAAAGATGGAAAATCTTCTTCTATTAGAGTTTACAGCCTCAGAAACCTGATGGAGTGTTGGTATGAGCTGTAACCAATTTGATGCAAGTGACTTTCGGTTTGTATTGCATGTTAACTGTATTTAATGTAAATACTCTATTTTGTGTAAGCAAAAATTTATCACTGTGTTCTGAATTACAAATAACTGTAGTATGAAATGTCAGTATGTTGATATATATAACTCATTCATACCAAGCAAAGTATTTGTGTTCTACCAAAACATAGCTAAGACTATTTGAATGATAAGAGAAAACGTTCCATTATTTATTTATGACCTTCTTTTTTGGTAGGCTTTCTCCTCCCAAAAATGTAACTTACAAGCAACATTAAAAGACATCTTCTGATAGGACAATCCTGGCTATTGTTGAGTGTTATAAAGGTACCACTAATATACCACTGATTTTAGAATTGCTACTCCCAACAAACCCTGTTGCCATCAAACTGATTTCAATTTACAGCAATCTCAACTCTAATGTTTTTCTGCACTTTAATGAGCACCATGAAAGGTCAGCTGCAGAAGTGCTAAAAGCTTGCTCAGATATCTCTCTATACACTCTCTATACACCAAGTACCATATTAAAATTGTAACTGTCAAAAGATACAAAACAAAAAGCATTTACACACTAATGACATCAGGGCTGTGACTGGACTTCGAAGATGCTTTACTATCAGGGTGGACATCCTCCCATCTGTAGTGTTTCCAGTGTGATCTGAAGGGCAGAGAACCTAGGGACTACAAATAATTGCAAACTTGAGCTAGACAAGGTAAGAAAAATGTGAACAATTAAGCGCTTTTGTTTTGGGTCCTAAAAGCAGTCCCCATATCTTCTCAAACTAACCCGCCCTGAGAGCTAGCTACCATGATGTCATCAGGGTAAAACATAGGGCCCACAATATGATGGGGCATGTTGTTTTTGCTGATTGCTTTTGAGTTGAGCACGACTCATAGAGACCCTATGAACAACTACCTACAACTATCAACATTTATAGAAGTTCATAGAGTTTCCAGAGGCAAGTTGTTTAGGAAGTGGTGGTGGTGGTTGTTGTTAAGTGCCGTCGAGTGATTCACAGCGATCCTATGAAGGAGAGTCCTCAATGCTTGGGTGTCTTTCATCCTCTCTCCAGGTTCATAGGGTTTCAGGAGGCAAGCAATTATGGAAGTGGATGCCACTTCTGCTTCCAAGTTTGTTTTAATTGAGGAGCTCCACCCCACTCTGTCCACATTGGGTAACCAGCCATTAACATATTTGACACATCAGTGTCACAGTGTTCAGCCTCACAGCAACCACAAGTGACCGCTGTACGGCAACTTGTACACCAGGGCTATGCGACCTAGAGGAATGTCTGAGGAAGCGGAGAGGAAAAAAAATTTATTTATATATATATATATGTAGCTTTTTAAAAAAGTATTGCTTAGAGACAAGAATGGTGGTAATGTGTTGCACATCCCTTGGGTATGTCATCAGGAGGCGGCCAGTCCTGGGAAAAAAGCCATCCTGCTAGGAAAGGTGGAGGGTTTGCAAAGACAATGACTCCCAACAAGATGGACTGATCCAGTGACTGTAACAATGGCTTGAGCATATCAGAGCTCATGAGATCAGTGCAGGACAGGGCAAGGGTCAGATATGTTATTTACAGGGTTGCTATGAGTCATAGTTATTCTATGAATACACATACACATATATGTATATTATCTGAGAAGCTGGACTCTTTGAAGAGGAGTGTGGCATCAAGATTGGAGGGAGACTCATCAATAAAACCTGCATTAGGCAGATTGACACAACTTTTCTTGCTGAAAATGAGAAGGATTTGAAGCACTTGAAACTGAAGATCAAGGAATGAAGTCTTCAATAAGGATAGTATGTCAATGTGAAGAAAACAACGATTCTTACCACTGGACCAGTAGGCAGCATTATAATGGATGGAGAGGAGATTGAAACTGCCAACATCTTCATCTTGCTTGGATCCACGACTAACATCCTTGGTGCCAGCAGCCGGGAAACAAGGAAAATCTGCAGTTAGGGATCTCTCCAAATTACTGAGGAATAATGACGTCAATTTGAGGAGTAAGGTGCATCTGATTTAGGCCATAGTCTTTCCAATCACTTGCTATGCATCTGAGAGCTGGATAAAGAACAAGGTACGCGTTACCACATTAACTGTGAGAATGAAGACCATTCTCAGCAACCAGACTGTCGACATTCCAGAGAATGTCGACATTGCTCTGAAGGGCCGCACAGTTATCGTGAAAGGCCTGAGGGGAACCTTGCGGAGGGACTTCAATCACATCAATGTAGAGCTCAGTCTCCTCGGAAGGAAAAAGAGGAGTCTTCGTGTTAACAAATGGTGGGGAAACAGGAAGGAACTGGCTACTGTTCGCACCATCTGCAGCCACATACAGAACATGATCAAGGGTGTTACACTGGGCTTTCGTTACAAGATGAGGTCTGTGTATGTTCATTTCCCCATCAACATTGTGATTCAAGAGAGTGGATCTCTGGTTGAAATTAGAAACTTCTTGGGTGAAAAATACATTCAGAGAGTTCAAATGAGACCAGGTGTTGCTTGTTCGGTATCTCAAGCCCAGAAGATGAGTTAATTCTCGAAGGAAATGACATTGAACTTGTATCAAATTCAGCTGCTTTGATTCAGCAAGCTACAACAGTTAAAAACAAGGATATCCGAAAATTTTTGGGTGGTATCTATGTCTCCGAAAAAGGAACTGTCCGGCAGGCTGATGAGTAGGCTAGGAGTTTTTCCAGCTACAGAAATGAGGCCGGTCAAATCATATGAATCTGATTTCAAAATGGATCTGATTCTTGTAATAAAATTCTACTAATTTGAAAAAAAAAAAAAGAATAAGGTGCATCTGATTTAGGCCACAGTCTTTCCAATCACTTGCTATGCATCTGAGAGCTGGATAAAGAATAAGTATGACAGAAAAAGAATTGATACCTTTGAGCAGTGTTGTTGGAGAAGAACATTGAACATCCCACGAACAGTCAAGAGAACAAACTGATAAGTCTTGGGGAGGGGGCAGCCAGAGTGCTCTTTGGAGGCAAGAATGATGATGTTTTACCTCACATAGTTTGGGCAGGTTGCTAGGAGGGGCTACTCCTTGGTGAAGGGCATGATGCTAGGAAGGGTGGAGGGTCAGTGAAGGAGAGGAAGACTCTCAACCATGTGGACTGACATGGTGAGTACTGCAATGGGCTCCTGTGAGTCATTAAGCGTGAGGATGGTGCAGGACAGTACAGGGTTCAGACCGTTTGTTCATAGGGTCACTATGAGTTGTACTTGACTCTATGGCACTTAACAGCATTTATTTTAAATCATGTTTGAATGATTCCTGGTCAGGAATTTGTACAGAAAATCAAACTCTGATTCCATTTCAAGAAAAAAATATATTTACATAGTTTTGAGCAATGATTATGTTCTAGACCCTCCCTTGGTGTCTCAGGTAAAGACTACAGGTTTCTGATCCAATTTGTTAACTCTTATGAGAAAAACTGATGTCTAAGTTTAAGATGTAAACTGTTTGGTGTCTGCAATTTGAGTACAATGCAACCCTATGAGCAATAGATTTGAACCCTGTCCTATCCTAAGCAATTCTCACAATCTCTGACAGAGCTGATCCCATTGCTGCAGTCACTGTGTCAATCCATCTGATTTACTGACCTTCTACCTTTCCAAGCACGATGTCCCTCTCCAAGGAAAAGACTCTCATGGCAACATGCCCAAAAGTATGTGTGGTGCAGCTTTATCATCTTCGTTTCCCAGGAGCACTATAGCTGCACCAGAGTTTGTACTGCATTTTAACTATATTTGTAAATAAAGAGATCTGAATATACAACTCAGAAGAAAGAAAATTATTTTATAGACCTGGAATAATAACATTAGTCAGAAGCCAGGAAAAGTTTCGAGTGAGAAATGGGGACAGTCCGAGTTCTACTCTGCATTTTTTCTCCAAATCTGCAATACTAATTTACTTTCCGAAGATGCCTTTGAATTGTGCTGCTGGCAAAGAGTACTAACATGAGAATACACCACAGATTGCCAAAAGAACAAAGAAATATGTCTTGGAGGAAGTGCAGTCAGAATGCTCCTGAGGAGCAAGGATAGGGAGACTTAAAGTCACATATGTGGGATATGTTACCAGGAGGAACAACACGGATGGAAAGTGTGTGGTCATCCAAGAAGAGTCCCTCAATAAGACAGACTGACTCAGTGAGAGCAGAGATTGTGAGAGGGGCACAGGATCAGGCAGGGCTTCACTCTGCTGTACACGGGGTAATTAGAGGAGTCAGGGGCACAGAATATTAACAACAAAGTGGGAGGTCAAGGTAACAAGTTTATTCCTTTATCCCCAAAAAATACATCTGAGAAGATGGTATTTACTCTGGCCTTTCCTAATTAGAACTTTATAAAGATAAAGCAGTTCACATTGATTAAATGCTTTAGAAAAATGTACTAGCAAAAGAACTTTATTATAGTAAATATGAAAGTAATAATTTTCTCATATTATTATATTTATTTTAATTGTGCTCTTCTTGTTCTGTGCCATCCACTGGACCAATTAGCAGCGTCAGGATGGATGACGAAGAGATTGAGAGTGTTCATAGCTTCAGCTTGCTTGGCTCCACAGTCAACACTCTTGGTACCAGCAGTCAGGAAATCAAAAAGCGTATCGCGATGGGAAAGTCTGCTATTAGGGACCTCTCAAAGGTACTCAGGAGCAACAGTGTCTCTCTGGAGACTAAGCTGCGCCTGATACAGGCCATGGTCTTTGCAATCGCTTGTTATGCATCAGAGAGTTGGACAATGACTAGGGAGGACAGAAGGAGAGTGGATGCTTTTGAGCTGTGGTGCTGGAGAAGGGTACTGAATGTACCATGGACTGCCAGGAAAACAAACAGATTCATCTTGGAGAGGATTAAACCAAGCTACTCCTTGGAGGCAAGGATTCTGGGGCTTCGTCTGACATACTTTGGACATGTTGCCAGGAGGGACGGGTCCTTGGAGAGGGACATCATGCTTGGGAGGGTGGAGTGACAGCGCAGGAGAGGAAGACCCTCTATGAGATGGATTGATTCGGTGACTGGGGTAATCGGGATGGGTGTGTCAGAGGCGGTGCGGTTGGCGCAGGATAGAGCAGGGTTTAGGGCTGTTGTGCATAGGGCCGCTATGAGTCGGAAACGACTCGACGGCACATAACAACAACAACAACAACAATTTTAAAACATATTCTCTCTCACAATCCCCCCCATCAAAAGCATACTCTGTTAGTTAAAGAAATAAATACTCAAAAGAGTGTGAAGGTTCTTTCAAAAAATTCAGAAGATAGAATAAGAAGTTGATTTTTCTTCACAGTACGCTTTACAGAGGCCAAACTGGTAACATTCCTAAACACCTCATTTCAGTTCTTCGGTTTAATAAAACCAGGAGCCAACTCTGATCATCAAGTTTTCATAATGGAATTCCTTTTCTGGAGGTTATTTAAGTTAAAAAAAAAACAAACAACAACAAAACAAAACAACAACAACCAAATGTAACAAAATTCTAAGTAGCTTAAGGCTCTTGGGTTTTGTTGATAGGTAAGAATAATCATCATAGTTATTTAAGTCTCCTTGTCGTTTTTTCTCCCTGACTGAACAAATCGCGTTAACGTTAATATTTCTTCTAAGAGACTGGGACTGTTTGGCACTGTTTTTCTCTGAACCAAATCTAATTTGCTGTGTGATAATCATGACTCCTTAAAATGTGATAATCTTATAGGTTATAAAATAAGCATGCAGACTTCAAAACTTCAAAAAAGGACAATTCAACAGACTAGAATTCTATTAGAGGACATCCTTTCAGTGTTCCTGTTGTATATTCTGGAGTTAGACTCTATTCTTTTCTTTTTTTTTAAATTCTTGTGTAAACAAGTTTTTACTTTTATTTGGTAGAATGTCAGGTTCTTTTCCCTCCTATCCCCCTCCTTAAATTAAAACGAACTAGAATCTCTCAAAGACTCTCCATCATCTTTCATTTCTGAGTGACATTCTACTTGGTAGAGCTGTCAAGAAATCAATGAATATATTAACTGGAATTAGACTCTGCACCCAGCTCCAAGGAGTGCAATTTAATAATTCTTAGTAGCCTTAGATGGAATTTTTAATAACCTCAAAAGAGATTTTTAAACCAACTGTGTATTTGTAAGTCAGTCCTTCAAATACAGATTTTTTCAGTTCCCAAATACTAGAGATGGAATCTTTAATAACCTCAGATGAGATTCTTTAAATCAACTGTGTAATTTGTAAGTCCGTCCTTCAAATACAGATCTTTCAATCCCCAAATATTAAATAAAGAAGGGTCAAAGAAACAAATAACAATCATCATAATTCCCACAACAGAAAAAGACAACTTTTATATTTATTTAGAGAGCTCTGGAGGCCTGGTGAAGACACACGGTTCGAATCCACCAGCTGTTCTGCAGGAGAAAGATGGGCTATCTTCTCACTCTGTGATTTACAGCTTCTGAAAACTCACTGGAGAGTTAGCCATGAGTCAGCTCCAACTTTACATTATAGAACAATAACATATTTGGTTACAATAAAGAAATTATTTTATTGATACATTCTTTCCCTATTACAAATTTAAGAGCATTATATTTCCCCTCCTTTTAACCTGATAAACTATGAGGAGAAAGCAAATTGTTAATTTAGGTAGTATTGTATAAAAGAGCTGCATACTTCTTCTCAGTCACTAGACTCAGTGCTGCTAAGAAAGGAAAACTGTACACATGCAAAAAACTTGGTAATTTTCTGTCTTTAAGATTCCAAAATTTTTACTATTTTTAAGAACCTAGCCTCAAATGAGCCAGGCACAGAAATCTCAGACTAGATGTTAAGAAGTTATTCAGATAAGGAACAAAGTATCTCAGAGTAGTCCTTGTTCTACCATTTAAAAACCAAGTGATTTTTAGCAAGTGACTTAGCCCTTTGAGATTTAATTTCTATACCGTAGCCTAATACTACACTGTAGATCTAATACCACCAAAGACTACAGGGCTGTGAGAAAATGAAGAAAGCATGTAATATATGTAAAGCTGCTGCATTTTAATAGGCTTTTTAAATAAATGTTCATGAACCTCTCCTCTGTCAGTTGTGGAGATGAAGCAGTGCAGCTAAATAGCTTTCTCTTCACTATCAAAGCTACTGTGATGAGACTCAACAAAGAAACTACCAAACAGATAAATAAATCTCCCTAATCTGCAATTTTAAAGTAGATAAGTCGTATTGCAGTAAAACTAGTAAAAGAATGAATGATGGGACTTTAAAGCCCACAGGACAGTTATCAACATACTATTAATCACTTTTCTTTTCCTCCAGGTTGAGAAGATGAGTTTATATTTCATACTTAGTGAGGAGATAAATTAACCACATTTTGAAAAAGGAAAAGTTGGTGTTTTTTTGGGGGGGAGGTGCGGGGGGGGGGGTTGGGTACCAAATGGGTGAGGTTTTCTTTTGCTTTTCAAGGAGAGGAGCAAATGTGGGGGGAGGGGGGAGGGGTTTGTGCGGGGAGAAGGGTGCAACAATGAATGAATGGAATCCCAAAATCTCTGTAGATGTTCACTGAAATGAAAAATAAACAACCTAAATTTAAAAAAAAAAGGCTGCTACTTTCTAGATGTTTTATCATTTAACCTTCCCAAACAAACAGAGGAAGTAACTCCTTACGTGCCTGAGGAGAAAGAAGACAAAGTGGAGGACATCTGCTA